CCTCCAGAAGGGCTCAGCTCCATGAGTAAGTAAGTAAAGTAAGTTTCCTTAATGACACTGTCAGTATCTCAGACTGTGTAGTACCAAATGATGGAAGAGCAGTAAATAATCAGAAAAGCTGTGGGGCCTACAATTTTTCTGTAGGGACTGAAGAAAACCATGAAAATTCTGTCAGAATGGCAGATACTGGGTGGAAATGTGAGCTCTGTCTGCAGTTGACTGCAACGTGTTCTGTGACTGCAGAGCCCAGAATGTGATGGACAGGATCTACAGTGTGATTCGTGAGCTGGCAGGAGAGAGCAAGACGGTGAAGATGGCAGACGTGCTGGAGCGCTGCGCCAGCAAGGGCTACACACCTGACCAAGTGGAGGAGTGTCTGGAGGAGTATGAGGAGCTGAATGTGTGGCTCATCAATCAGGCTCGTACCAAGATCACCTTTGTGTAACTGGGGCATTGGGTGAGTACAAGAAGAAATGGTGTGTTAAACTCTGTAGTAGCAGATTGTGAAGGTGCAGCATTGCTGCAATATACGTGTAATCTCAGTGCTGTATCTTATTTAGAGCCCATTAAATTGAAACAATTTCCCAGTCTCTTTTGAAGTTCCCGCTGAATGTCACAGAGTAGTGACTGCCATCTGAGTCATTCATATTATGTTTCAAGTTATGACACCATGTAGATGAAGAAACACTGTCTCCGTCTTCAGGGTATTACTGAACGAGTGTATTTTCTACCTGTAAAATATAGGCAGTATGTTCCTCTGGAGTGCTGGTAGTCTCCTACCCAGGCTACATGCTATCACAACCCAGTATCAGTTTCTGCTGCTGTGAATACCTCAAATCTTGCAGCTATAATGTGCCAGGCTTGCAGTTTCCCCTCCCTTCTCTGTCCCTCCTGAAGCCTGACCCTGCCATTCATGCTGTAGGATGGGAACATGTTCAAATAAGGGTAAGCTTGTCAGGGTGAAGTAAACTGGGGACCTTGTCTTTGGCACTTTCATGATACCTGAGAAAGTCTGAAGGTGAAGAGGCCTGGTGGGACTACGATGAAGCCGCAACAGGCTTGTGAGCTTGTAGTGGATTTTGAATGTGCTCTCGTCACACTTCCTTTCCATCATACATCCAGTCTTGTTGACTATACACGGTGAAACGAAATTCACACATCATCGCACTGTAGATGAGCTGTTCTTAGGATAATCCTCATGCTATCCGTAAATGTGTGTATATGCTCCATTTCACAGTCAGTGTTTGGTACAGTCTGGAATTATTGGGGGTATTGTCATGGGCCCCTGTCTGCTACCTGGCAGGTTGACTGCTCAGCAGATATGGAAAATGTTCTACCAGGGCTGCTTGAAGGTGTACCTCCAGCTGTGAGGCAGAAGAATTTGTGGTTTCAGCATGGCGGAACTGCAGTGCACTATGGGGAAGGTGTCCACCAGTAGCAGAACATGACTGACATACCCAAGAAAGTGGATTGGATGCCAGTGTTTTATGGTGGGGACATCTGAAGGAGCATGGTCATGCAGTCCATCTCAGACTTTCAAAGATGTTGCAAGACTTCAGGTGGCTGTGACATCAGTTACTGTCAAGAAGTGTTTGACAGAGTGCTAGGATGCCACTTTGAACACCTGTTGTAGCTATGAGGTGTCAGTGGTTTAATCATATGATAGCTTGTGCCATTTGACAGTGACATATATCTTGAAAAAAAGGTGCAGAGCATATGTTGTGTTCTATATTCTATTAGTGTATTTTAACAAGAAGTCACTGTGGAGAGTTTGTGTGTGAATTTCTTTCCCCCCCCCCTGTATATAACTTCTGCAGATGATGCAACATTGATGTTCTGAACATCATGTCATAATGGTCAGCACTTCTGCTTCATATTCAAGAGGTCATTGCAGAAAGCAGCTGTCGTGACAGCTTTATATTGCTTACCTTCCCCATCCTTTCCAGTTCGTCATTTTATATTATGTAATTATAAATAATGCAGGAATTGGAAAGAAGTAATTTGCTCTTGTTGTTATCATGTCTGCCTTTCTAAATATTATGACTGGTTTGTCTTACAGATGTTACAAAGCAGCCATCTGCCCTTTTAGAGATCTTCCCAACTTGCTGCTTTCTCTGGATTGATATATTATAATTTTGTTCTTTCAGTATGTTGTTTCCATTTTACGAGTATTCTGCGTGAAGGCATTTTACTTGAAGTTTGTAACGCTTCTTTCACCTAACACTACAAAGATCACTGAGTTCAACTGTTTAAAGTGTTCATCTCTTGCTGTCTCCTCCTTGCATTTTCTTTCATCTCCACCCTGTTGCAGGCATGAAGAGTCTTTGTATTCCAATGTTGTTCTTAAGACATCTCTCCCTGTTCCTCTGCCTCAGTTACATTTAACATAACATGTTCAGTGACTGTTTTAAGCTTCTGTTCATCTCAGGACCAGTGTTCCATGATTAATATTCAGTGTCATTGTCATGATAAACTTCATCTGTTTCTCTGTTTTGTAGTCATGTGACTTTGACATCTGTGGTTTATTGCTGATACTTTTTTGGAAATGTACATTTTTACTGGAGTGCCAGAAGCCAGGCTGTTGGCATGTCCTCACATTTTCCTGAGTGATGTCTAAGAGTGTCAAGATTTTGTGTTCAAAAGTTGGAGGGTCCGCTATGGGATATTTGCATTCTGTTTTGATTCTTCATGTTTACAGAAGTGTACGTCCTGCTACCGAGCTAGTGAACATTTTTGGTTTGTCACCATCATCATCAATGATGTTCTCCACGGTTAAATAAGTGAACCTGTCTTAGAGGTTGGGTGATGGTGACAGCATTGTGAATGTCATTCCAGTTGGCTGCAGATGTTACAACAGGCAAACTCAAGTTATGCGTCATAACTGATGAATACACATAAGAATATTATTTGAAAATTAGAAATACGTAATACAGGAAACTCCTCAGCTTCCACCAATTGTGCATCACATTACTGGAGCAAGATGCCCCAATGGCCTAGTTTTACATTCTTTTGTACCACCATTCTGCAAAATGAAAGTATGGCTGCCAGTCCCTATTCCTGGATGGTAGAGATTAAGGAGGTGACATTAGTCTAATATGTAGAGACTGAAGTAATTTTGTGTGGAAAGTTATCAAGATCGATGTGTTCTTTCATAGGATAATTTTTAAAAGTTTGGGGGTACATCTCTGGGTCTGAAATGAAAACAGAAAAACGACATTTATAAAAAAATTAACTGTTAATATTTTTGTTTATTGATATATATTGCCTTGGTTACAGTTTGCCTGTTTGTTACATTATTTTGTTTTATGTACAAGAGCCATGGCATCCCATTCTCTCTGCAGTAAACAGTAACAGTGGTGTAAAATTTGGATGTGTTGTGTGAAGAAATAGAGTACAGTGGTAAATTCAGCACGTCTTTAATGCAAACTCTGGTATTTCTCTGATCTTGCCCTCAAACACAGTTATAGAAAAGGACTGCAAATGTACATCCTGTCTTCAAAAGACGTTTAAAATATTACTTATTATAAGATTTGAGGTTTTCACAACAGTGAAGAGTCGCATTGTCCTCAAATTTATGAATTCTTTCTGTGGTCTGGTAAATGATTACCAGTACTCCTACCCTGAAGATGGATGCACTGTGTTCCTCTGAAACACTGGTACCCACTCACCATAGTACAATAAGTGTTATAATCTAAAAGACTGCAGTTTGGAGGATATTTGTCCAGTTTTATGCTGTGGTGAAAGCTACACCATCCTTTAGAAAGTGTCCTTGGTTTTGTTTGTAGAAACTAGCATAGCATAATATTATGTTGTGTGCTCAAGCACACTATGCATTATACTGTTGCATTTATGTCATACTGCCGGCATGTCATGTGATGATTGCACACTGTAAAATGTAGCTGGAAAAATTTTCAGTTACTTTCCATGGTTTATATTTCACATCAAGTCTGACAAATAGATCCCAGATACTGAGTTGTAGATTTCCATGGAGACTGAGACATGGGAGATGCATCATGTACATTAAGAATATAGCAGTTTGCAAGAAAGTGTGTATGTTATGTAGTAATGTACAGTGATGAAGTATTTGGTTAAGAAGTTGGTTTTCTAATTATGCAGGCAGTGTTTACAAATTAAATTACCTTCTTATTTTTAATCTATCACACATTTTATTGGAAGTGTAAATATTTATCTTCATTTTTATGACCGGGCTTGCTCACACCGCAGCTGTTTGTCATCATTCCATGCTCAGTTTTTGTATCAGGCGGCGCTTAGCGTATGGCCTGAGATAGAAATACAGAAGCATATATCAGAGCCAGAAGTCAGTAAACTAGAGAATGTGATGGCATGGACACATTTAAGAATGAATGTGGAGAGATTTGCAAAGAAGGTTTTTGACCATAGAAATAAACAGCAAACGTCCATGAGGAAGGCTGAGACAAAGATGGGAACAACATTTTCAGAGAGATGTCACACAAAAGGAAGGAGGGAGGAGTGTGGGAGGAAATTAAGGTGGAAGAGCTTTGGAAAAATGTGGATAGAGGGAGGGAGAGGATTTGTTGCTAGGTGACCCGCATAAAGTGGAAATATTGGCAGCAGAGAATGAAGAAGTCACTCCTGATGTTTGTGCTGAATGTGATGACAGCTGATAGCACTGACAGGATCAGGGCACTGTAACATAAGACATTGGGAGATGGAAGGAACTGAGTTCTTTTGAAAGCTGGATGAATTTTACTGTTCAAGTGGCAGATTTTATTTCTGGCGGTCTGTCTTTAACCATATCAGCATGAAACTGCCGTTCATTGAGCTATGAAGCTGGCTTCTGTCTCATCAAATGTTTGAAGTTATTAGCTTGATGGTTGATGACATGCATCATATGCCATACCAGTATATATTTCTAAAAACATAAAATGTTCTGTATTAGTTTGCAAATTAAATGAAGATAGCACTGAAACTGAAGTGTGGAAACATTTCATATTCTTTGTAATGAAGAAAATGAATTTGTAACAGTATTTGAAAAAGTCTGGTTAGTTTTGAACTTGTAGTCTGGGTTTATTTATCTGCTTCATTTGCTAGAGCTGGGATAGCCACGGGCTGGGTGCCCAGGGCTCAGTTACTGGTGGTGAGATCCCTACATCTATGACACTCACCTGGCATGCCATAAAATTGTTCCCTGGGGTCTGAAGCATAGGGCTCACCACTTACCCCCAATTAGTCAGTTTCTTCAAAACGTTTCTGACAATCTACCAAACTGTACACTGTCGCATCTCATTACAATCTTCAGTCACCACTGTCAGACCCCCAATGACAGGCGTGATGTGTGTATGTCAGAAATGTCTATACTTTTACTTTGCTGAACTTTAGAGAAACATTTGTGTGTGCCATTCAGTGCAGATGTTTATTCATGTTTCTGATATACTCCTCTGCCTCTATGTGTGTGTGTGTGAAACGTCGTGTACAGGTTGTTAGAACTGTTTTGTGTTGCAGAGAACTCAGATTAAAACTTTGCCCTGAGATCTGCTACCCTAACTGGGATTTTTCTGTCATTCCAGATGTATCAGTTTTTTATTTCCTTTTTGAATCCTACTGTATTATACATTTGAAAGTACTTAGGCCATCAATATGATAACAAAGTAAATTCAATTCTATTGAAATTGATTGAAACCAATAAGAATGATAATGGTTTAATCAGATTTACTGTCTCACTCACCCACTACATATATGAAACGGGCAACCACCTGATGATGGTCCGTGTGACTGAAGCATGTAGTGGTGAATGTGACAAAATTGTTAAACTGTTGACATTTTTAATGACTTTGATGGATTTTGTTAAAATCTAAGCCATCACAAAAACACTTAATTCTGTTTTTCTGCTGCGAGTTGTACATCTTTCCTTAGCCTTTTTAATGTTGTCAGGATCTAAAGTGAGTGTTAGCAGGAAATATGGTAATATTAATCATTTAAATCACTGTGCTAACTATATGTGTCTCCTGTTTTAACATTCAGAAACTCAGCATTATAGCCATGGAATGTATTTTTGTATGTCACGTGATTCTCATAAGAAACCACCATTATTTCCCTAAACAGCATTAACTCTCTAGTCTTTGTTTTGGAGACAGTGTTTTCTGTGAGGTAAAAAAAAAAGTAAAGCTATCCCTGTACCAGGCCGTGA